GACTGTCAACAGAGTCGAAATTCCGTGTAGTAATAGTTACGCGGTCTTGCGATAGATGGTGCTGGCATATGTTAGATAAAGACAGATGTATGCGTTTAAGTGAGATAGAACGATATATAATATAATGTAAGAAATGAATCAAAGAGTCACTATTATCGAATTTGGAATTAAGGCGGTAGTCTTACAAGACTTTACAAGGCCAAAAAATAGCAATATTTTGGGAATTTTTTTAGAAGGGAAAAAATAATTAAGCTTCTTAAACGTTTATGCCTCATTTTAATATGTATTCAAAGGGTATAAAGTGAATTTTTATGGAGCAATTTAATAGAAAATGGCGGATGTAGAGGCTATTGTGTGGAGCGCCTCGGCTCTGGAGTTGTCCATCTGCGTACACGATGCCGCTCGCAATTCTTGTCTGAAATGAAAAAATTAAACTGATTATTAATTTAGACATGTATATCTTCTATATGAACTTAAAAAATTCCGAAAAAGAGGCATAATGATGATTATTTGTAGTTTGAACACAAATTATGCATTTTTACATGTTTAAATTTGACTTTGACCTGATGTAAAAATTATTAAAAAAGACTTTTTTAATAATTTTTTTAGTTCATATAGAAGGGAATTTAGTTTTTAATAATTTTTTTGGTTCATATAGAAGGGAATTTAGTTGTGAAGAGAATGCACTTTGGCTTTTGTCGATCGGTCAAATATTTTTTTTGCTATCGTGTACGCAGTTTAGGAAAAATCGTAAAAATGAAAACTCGAGAAAACACACTTTAAAGTTTGCGGTCGGAAAAAGTTCGATTTATTGACTACTTATATCAATAATCTGCTAATCAGCGATTCCTGCACTATATAAGAGGCCTTCAGCTTTCTCGTAGTATTCATGAAGATGAATTTGTTCGGCTCTTCGAGCTGTCCTGGCCTTTGCTGCTGAGTGACTGCCGCGCGTTCTGTCGCTCAATCCGCGATTGGTCAATAGTATCGGCAAATAATTTACATTGCTGGCCAATGCGTAAATCCAGCAGCTGCATTGTCATCAGGATGGATGAGTATCCCTCATTAAAAATGCCTGCGGCCATATATGCAGCTATCTGGACAATTTTTTTGCCGGAATGTAAATGTTTTGGCGCCATACGCCACACCGTTGAATTGAATGATTCGTTTGGGTTTTGGGTATGACCACCAAGACATCGCGTTAAAAGCTCTTTATTCGACAGATCTTCGTAAATTGGGCGAATATGTTTCTCGATATCGCTGTTAATTAATGGAGCATCGTGTTTAAAATTTTTCAGTTCGTTCGTCGCTTGAGCTTTGCGCCACTTGCACCAGCTGTCGGCGCCCGCAGGACATTTCTCGTGTCTTGGTTTTACATCGGTCGAACAGTAGTGGTTTAACGTGGCAAAAATAGCATTTTTCATGTCTTCAACGGAATCTTGATGTCTTCTAATAGCTAAGCCATAAAAAATTGTTAGCTTTTTTATAACAGCTTCGGTCAGACGATTTTTTCCACCGAGATTTTTCTTTTTTATATTCCATAGTCGTATGCCCATCCTTTTCTGCACGTGTTCCACACATTCATTTTTTATAACCGGACATTCGTCTCCGTACGGATTTACCTTCAAAATTCCCAAGAAAGTCTTCGAGTCGCCGTCGCCAATGTAATTCGAATATTTCACGCCAAATGTTTCTTCCGATCT